GTCCCTCAAAGGTGGTCCACCTCTATAAATCCCTAGAGTTCCCACTCTCTGAGTCGAGCTTACTTCTCTAGCCTCATGGCTGATACGGACCTAATGAAAACCCTTCATGGGTTTCTGATTTTCTTTAGTGAACCTGTCTCAACAAAAATAAAGATGAAATGATTGAGTGATGACCCAGGAAAATATTAAACAGTAAACAAAATGACATGTCCATACTTAAGAGGAAAAAAAACTTGAGCATTTGTATAACATAGTAGTAATTCTTCAATTCAACACATATTATAAACACTGCATTAATTGATATGGGAATCCTAGAATAAATCAAAATTGTTAAAGTGAAGACAAAAACATGCCATCATAAAGCAATTAAGGAACAATTTTAAGGAACATGGCAAGCACTAAATAAATTAATGAATGAATCAATGATGTCAGCCTTTAAGCATTAAGAGTGATTTCAAGTACATGTTTATACTTAAATACTGAGGGGGTTCAGATTTTATTGTAAGATTATAAAATAGTGAGCTTAGATTAAGAAGTCTTCTTATAAGTATAGAATTTGAAAAAAAAATGTAAGATTTAAAATGGCATTGGGGTGACTGGGTGGCTCAGTCAGTTGAGCATCCAGCTCTTAATTTCAGCTCAGGTCATGATCTCAGGATGATGAGATTGAGCCCCAGATTGGGCTCTGTGCTCGGTGTAGAGCCTTCTTAAGATTCTCTCTCTCCCTCCCCCTCTGCCCCTCCTCCTGCTTGCTCTCTCTCTCTCAATAAATAAAATCTTTAAAAAAATAAAATAAAAAATAAAATAAAGTAAAATGGATGAACTTAGAAGCTGTTCTAGAGGAATTCATTTGATTAATGATTTCCCTGGGAGAAATTTAATTTCAGTAGGTACTGGGAGATAGTGGTCCACTTTATTTAGATTAGTGGTTTTCGACCACATTTTACAGATACACCTATTTGTCTCAATTAGGTATGGGTGCTTTACTAGTAATTTGTTAATATTAATATTGCAAGTTTCAGAATTCTCCAACTATTTCCATTAAAGATAATTGAGATTATTCTACATAATCCCAATAATAATGTCATTCTTGTTTGCATTATGAGAGGTTTTCTTTAATGAAAGAAATGAAGTTATAGTTAGAAATGAAGGAGGAGTCATGGAAGGGAATGCATGTCAAATATATCTACCATCATCAGAGTGTTGGTTGAAAACCATTGTATTAGGGTTAGAAATGTTTTCAACAGATATGTATCTAAACACTATCATGTTATCTGCTTTTGTTCATTACGGTATTTTCAGCATTTAATGTAATCCTACATATTTAAAAAATATGTTTAATAAATATTTGCTTTTATTTCAGTGATATTCAACTAGCCAATCAAATGTTAAACAAAATAATATCTCTTGATATTCAGTATACTGAAAAACCTTGTTTCCTGACAATATCAGATAGTTGATGCCTAACTGGAATTATTTGGTAAGACTAGATGGCCAACCTTAGGTTTGTTCTGTATATGTTTAGGATAGGATAGAAAAGGAATTCCAGTCTAGGAAGAGAGGCTAAAGGAACACATAAGTTATGTGTTATGTTATAGAATAATACAAAACTACATATGATTAAATACCAGGAGAGGAACAAAAAGAGCATTGTGTCTTATCTGGAGAATCTGAGGGTGACTTACTAAGAAGTGGGATTAGAGGATGAATCCAATTTGGATAAAAGGAGGGAGGGCAGGAAAGTTTCCCCAGAAAGTAGGAGAGGCCATAGAAAGGCTGGCTGTGGGGTAACGTGTAGTCTGTAGGGGAGTCTTGAAGAACTGTGGAAAATAGGGTCAGATATAAAGTAAAATCAGGAAGGCCTAATGAACTGTTCTCCTAGTGTATTACCTTGTTTATTCACAGTATCACTTACCTTGAAGAGAGACTATATTTATTGCTTATTCCAGAGATATTTTTAATGTTTAATAATAGAACCCATTACTTAAATAAAAAAAGAGAGAGAGAGAGAGAAATAAAACTGCCTTCTTTCACGTCAGCTTGGTGACTTAACACCTAGCTCTAGAGTCTCCATTTTATTCTGATATCTAACTTGCTGTAAGGTCTTCCTGGTTAACTAGTATTCTGCTACCTTCTTTCCTTTTATTCATATGCTACTTCATCTTAATATCTTTTACCATGGAACTCGAATGGTTAGAACATCTAATCATTGTAGGTTCTGATACCTTCCACCAACTTCTCTGTAGGCCCTTATGTGATAGTAGCCATCTGATTAAAGGTTAGGCTCTAGGCAAAATCACTAGCATTTGAATCCTGTTTCTGCCACATATTAGCTGGATAACCTTGGGCAAATTACCTAAATTCTTTGGTTTTCTTCATTGTAAATTAAAAATGAGGATAGCATTAGCATTTACCTCAAAGGGTAATTATGAATATTAAATAAATTAATGCAGATAAAGCACTTAAAACAGCATCAGGCACAGGGTAAATGTTATGTAAGTGTTAGCTATTATTATTTTCTCTAATGGGGAGGAAAAAATGTACACATGATATTTAGTATAACCATATTGCTCATGTAAGCACATTAAAATTTCTGATTATTTCAAATTTAAGTTGCATTTAAGTGATTCTTGGAATAACAATTTAGCTTGGAAAAGACCTCAAACATCTTCTAACACAATTTCTCTTCCAGTGCCATAGCAAAAGGTCTGGCATAGAATAGATGCACTATCTATTCAATAAATATGCACCATGTGAATGGGTGACATTGCAAAATGCTAAACAGAAAAGACAAACTGGTAATTATTATACCAAGTAGAAGTATGCTGGGTGCTTTGGGAACACAGAAAAGGTGAGTCTCAACCCTCTGTGGATAGAAGTAAATCCATAAAATCTACTTAGAGGCTACAAAACTCAGCTGAGTCTGAATGATGCACAGGAGTTCATATGGTGAAGAAGAAATTTAAAGGGTCTAGAAAGTTCTTTTATGATACAATTTCTAGTCAAACTATTCAAAATAGGGCAATTAGTAAATGAGAATGATTTTATTGCTATTTATACCATAATGTGCACTGGAATTGCACCTTATCAACCAGTGTTCTGACTGGTATCAAATTATTCCAAACAGGCAGGGTTTCCTAGTAATTCAGATAAAATATATATCTTCAAGCCTTTTGAAAAGTCTAGTTTAAAGAAAAATAATAGTTATCTTTTACTGAGTAGTTATCATGTACTGCCCTTATAATGAACTCTTATAAAGAATTAATTCATCTAAACCTCCCAGGAAGAAAGTTCTTTTACCGCCAAGTTGATAAGCCGAGTTAGTAGCAGAGCTGAGGTTTGAACTCAAGGCTGCCAAGTACATGCTCTAAATTACTACACTAAGCAAACTTTTGGATTGATTACTCACTAGAAATACTGTCTTGTTTTCCTTTTGTGTAATTTGAGGAAATATTCAGAAAAGTTACTACATTAATGATACTGATTCAGGTTTCATGCTGGGACTTTTATAAAATGTTACACAAAATGTAATTTGTAAGTTTCCTTTCAACACTCTAAGGATGAGCACATCACAAGATGTCTTGCTGGTCAGCACTGTTCTCCAACTGAAAGTGCTTTCACATCCACATCTTCATTTGCTTTTCCCCTAGTGGGTATAGAAAACTACTTGAATAATGCATATTACTTTCCATATTCTTTCAACAGAACATTGTATACTTAAATCACTAAGATGGATTCCTGGTATGGACTCAGAATTTAAACAAAAGAAAGAAAACTTCATTTGTAAAAACCTGGAACAATATTCAGTATCTAAATACATTCTATAAATCCAAAAACATATCAAAAATCTAGTATTCTTCAAACAAAGTCTTTCAAATAAGAGAGTAGAGCACTCAAGTTCTTTCTCTCATTAAACAGCTTCATTTTCAGGCTTCCTTCCCAAAAGGAGCTGAATGCAAGAAGGCCATTTTAGTCTGCTGTTGCCTCCCCTTGGATATTAACAGTGTTGAGATCCAGCCACTATCTCCCTCCTTCACCACTAGCCAGTATGGCCATCATCCTCTATCATTCTGGAGATAACCCCCTTTTTATGCTTTTTTTTTTTTTTCAAGTTCTTTACTGTCCACCTATCCCCACTACTGACAATAAACCACAATGTTGGATATCATTAGGCTTTACTGATGTTTTCTAGTCACTTCTGTATTCTTCCGAATCAGAGGATATAACTGGCTCCACCAGGAAGTGAAATAGAGGTCATTACAGCAGCAGTGACTTTCAAGCTGTTTGCTAAATTTAGCTGTCCAATACTTTCCACGCTAATGAAACCTGTGAACTACAATTACAGAATGCTGGAATAGAACAGGAGCTTAAAGGTCACCAAGTCCAATCCCATCCTTTTTCTGATGAGGGTACTGGGGCCTAGACACAGTCTGCAATTTGCTTGAGGACACAGAGCTTGTTAATGGTAGAGATGGGACTTGAACTAAAATCTGCTCAGTTCACTCCAGCAGTGTCCTTACTATACCACAAATGCTCTGCTTCCCGTGCTCAGTCTTACCTAACCGGATCTCACAGCATAAATATATCTGATATTATTGGTTACAACTTATCTCCTGTGGCCATTCATCAACTTGGTGGCTGAATGTGAAATGGCAAAGGTGTCTGACTAAAAAGTTGCTACAAGAGAAATGAAATGATTTCATACCCAAACCCTGCCCCCAACTCTAAAAACTTCCTGCTTTATGTTCATCAATAATGAATGGCCCATCCCTGCAATACTCAGAGGGAGCTTACATTGCACTTTTGAGCAGCCGGTTAGTAATGTACAGTGGATAGAGCCTTTCTTTCAAATCCCAGGGCAGCAGGTCCTTCAAGGCTAGCATTGCATTTTCAATTAGCTGCTGAGTGAATGCTTGGCATGTGTATTAGTGAAGAAGCACACAATTAGCTTATTGTTCCTTTCTGCATTGTGCTGAGAGGTTCCAAGAGATTGGTGGAGGAACAGGCAAGCCAGGCATCACTGTGGAGTTGAAGAAGGGATTTACTCAGACCTCGGCACCTTCACTTGCTCCTCTGGAATTACAGCTATTTATTACAAAGGGCCCTGTGTGGCTGGGTGCAGTGTGCCTGAGGAAACGCATCCTGGACACCACCTGGGGCTAGTACTTCTGAGCCCTTCCAGTTTCTGACTAATTCTCGTCATTATCATGGAGCCCAACAGTCCCAAAAAGATACAATTTGCTGTGCCTTTATTCCAGAGTCAGATTGCACCTGAAGCGGCAGAGCAGGTAGGTGGAATTGGGTGGGGAGGAATTCCTGTATATAAGGTAATACGGATATACATTCTTATTAACTGAAAGCTTCTCTACCTCTTGAATTTGTTTGACTTTGTGACTTTCCAGGATATATGAATGAGAAATAAGTTGGTTTCCATATGGTACTTGTATTTGAGTTGCACTGAGGGACCTATTGGCTAAAATGTAGCACTTCATGCTAAAAAATTAGCACCCATTAGAGAAAAAAAATGATATTAGTGATTTAGATTTGGATCCAAAAACCTGTTTGTTTTTCATTATTCATGAAATGAAAAAGATTCATTAAACATTAAAGCTTGGAATAATTTCAGATTATAGGGTTAATATTTTTTAATATTTTTCATCATATATTCAAAGGAGTAATTATAAGTATGTGTAATATATGATAGATAGACTTTGTAGATGGTATGTATAATTTAAAAGACATTTTATGCAGGTATTAAAATAGTATTAAACATTTCCTGGATTCCTTTTCTATGTCTAATTTATCTATATTTCTTTATTTCTGTCTCTCTCTTTCATGTAAAATTGTTTTACATCTGTATCACCTTTCATATTCAGATTTACTTAGACTCCTGATGCAATGGAACCACTTAAAAGACCATTTGCGGTAAAATCACAACAGCAGGGAGGCAAAAGCAGAAAAAAATTATAGGGTTGTCAATCTAATTCATTAATTTCTTACAACCTAAATTATCATTGAATCCTTTTCCAAATATTTTATACAAAGTCTTAAAAATAATTACTGAATCTGAGACTCATAACTTTCTAGGATGTTTTGATAATTGGAAATAGATTCTCTCAGACAAGGCCAGATAAACATAACCTTGAACTTCATGTATTTATTTCGAATGGGACATCAGTTCTGTCCTGGACAAAATGTCATTGGCAAATTTTTATCCTCTATCCTACTGACATGTATTTTAAGAATTTATCTATATATTTAAGAAATAAAGAATATTTTAGAAAGTCTAATCATAATATGCTCCTGTAACTCTTAAAGTAAGAAAAACAAACCCCACATCAAACCTATTAGTTTTAAATGAATTACTCTCCTAAAATCCATACTCATTCTTTATTTGTCCTAAAGATGTTACTAGAAAATAAGAAAACCTTATATTAATTGAAATGAAGAACTCATGCTGTTAAATTTAACCTGCTAGAAATTTTAAGTTTTCTGAGCTTCTCTTAACCTGTTTAGAAATAACAATAATGGATCTTAAAGGCATCATCATTATGGGGTTCCAAGAGAGCCATTAAAACGAGCAAGTCATCCTTGTACCTATGCTGCACATTAGTTCAGTGGCATCATTTGATTATATACAACTTCCTTTTTTGTGGAAAGGTAGCTTTTTTGGTCAACAAAGGTGATACTAATACCTGAAAGTTCTACTCTCTGGCTTTCTATAATTCAAGACAGTGAGCACCTACTGTGTGCTCTCCAGAAATCTGCTTTTTCATGTTGGGAAAAGTTGAGGATGGACCGGTTCTGCAAGCTGACTCTCACTGACCTTAGTGGGGCCTTTGTTTTTCACAGATCAGAAAAAGAAGACCTACACCAGCATCCCTTGTGATTCTCAATGAACATAATTCTCCAGGTAAAGAAGCATGATGTCTTTGCACTAACAGAACAGAATTGTTTGAAGAACATCAGAGAGTATGTCATTGCCAAAAGATTTCGATTTAGGATGACAGTCCTAATCTAACAAGCTAGTATATAAAAATGGATCATAAACAAAATCAGAAATACAGAAACAGTCTCGGTCAACAGTCTGCTTTTCCTCTAGAATGACACAATGGTGATGATATGTTATAAAATGATCTGTTGCTTATACATTAATGAGGATGGTGGAAAGTTGTTTAATTAGGTTCCAAATCTCAAATTATAGTCCAAGAGATGCTTGTATCTCTACAGAGCAGGTTTTTTAGTTATGAAAGCTTGTCATGGGGGTGGGCAATAAGCTAGCACTGGCTACAGCTTTGTTGCTGATGTCATGTCTGAATAATGCAATTGACAAGGAACGAGATCAATTTTCAGCACTGCCCATTTGAGAGTCATTCTGAAGGGCTGCATCCATTTGTTGAGGTTTTACTTTCCATTTCCTGTAAAAAGTAAAGCTTCCTTATTTCTGATAAATGACTGTGATCTGCAATACACAAACATTATTTACTTATTGAATGGAAGTGATTTTTAGCTCACATTTAAGTGCTGTTTCTAGAAATACAAGTTAAGACAGCAAAGGTCATAATAGCATTAATTTGTACACAGGCGGGACTTGGTATTGGGTTTTTTACAGGTCTAAACAATACGGGTAGAAAGAAGGAATTTGAATAATAGAAACATAATAAGTCTAAGTACAGGCTGTAGTGAATAATCTGTCTTAAGAATACCAAGGCAAAATAGTCTTTGATTTTTTTTCAAATTCCTTTCTAATTAGAGAAGCATACATAAGAAAGTAAAATTCTAATAGAATATTCATCATTGAGTCTATATCCAGGAAGGTGTTCAGCTGATGGGAAACCAAAGCAAATTTATTCCTGATGAAAACAGGATTTGTTTCTATTTCTATTTCTTTAAAGTGCTATAGCATTTAAAAATAATTTTCAAATGTATTATCATAATAAATGTTAACTTATTTTGGTTTAAAAAGAGGTACAAATGGTAAGCACTTATAATTTACAAATAATCATAATACTAAAATCTTCTGGGGCATCTAGGTGATTCAGTCAGTTAAGTATCCAACTCTTGATTTTGGCTCAGGTCATGATCTTAGGGTAATGGGATGGAGCCCTGTGCCAGAATCCACATTAGGTGTGGAGCCTGCTTAATACTCTCTCTTCTCCCTCTGCCCCTCTCTGCCTCCTTCTCTTAAAAATAAATAAATATATAGATAAATAGATAAATAAATAAATAATAGAAAAATAAAATCTTCTTAGATTGGAAGTGATTTTATGGCAATTTTCCATTACTGTCCTTGCTCACGGCATGCAACTTTTCCACAATGTCCTAGAACTTACTTCCCTGTAGGTTAGCCTTAAAAGGTGTTGCCCAACTGATTTCTAAGTGTCCTGCTACAGATACTACTACTGTTTGAATATGGCGAAGCTATATAAATGACGCTTGTGGCTCTCATTCAAGCCCCCAAATTAGTAACTAATATTTTTTAAAAGCCAACTATGTGCTTATAGATGAGAAAAATAAGTATTAGAGTGGTCAAGTAATTTTGGTGAAAGTTACTCCACTATAAATGACAAATTATACAGACAAACTCAGATAATTCTGACTCTAAACCCTGTGCATTTTCTACTGCGCGATGCTGGCCCTGCAAATTTCAGTTTGCATTACATAGTAAATTCTCTGTAAATGGGACTAGACTTTCAGGCCCCATTGACAAGCAAATACAAACCTTACATAAATCTTCTGTCTAGACCACTAAATTTAGTAGATTAGGAATTATACTTAGGTATCCCTGAAAATCAAATTTAGATTTTCTCTAGAAATCTTATTCTTACCAGAACTCCTAATCACTAGATGGCATTGTTCTATTTTCCTTATTGACTCCATACTTCTCTTTTAAAACACCAGTGGAGAGAACTTAGATGCAAATAGCATCTCACAGAGAATTGTGTCATTTTAGTAATGTCATCTCCCTTCATCTTCATCCTCTTTTTGGAAACCAGAATAGTTTAGAAGGGACTGATTAGCCCTTGCCTATGTATAGCAATGTGTATAACAAACAGGGATTTCTGGACTAATGGTAGGTTCTTGCAGGAAAAAAAAAAAAAAAATCAAACACTTCCATAGCTTCCCAAGTAAAAATGATCTAGAACCATGATTATTGGAGAAATAAATGAAAGAACCAAACAAACCAAACAGTAACCAAACCTCACAGTGAACCAAACCAAACCTAGATACTAATCTTCACTATCCATGTGGTCTTAGTTGGGTAAAGGACAACATCTCCAAGCTTTATTTTCTCATCTATAATTTGGAGATAATGTCCATCATTTCTACTTCACAGGGTTGCTAAAATGGTTTAAAGAATTAATGTGAATACCCCTTGAAAACTGTAAAGTGAAACAAATGTTAGGTGTCATTGGCTGATGTGTTCCGGAAGACAATCTTTCCATGTAATATTTAAATGTTAACATAAGAACAAGTTTTTTCATAACCTCACTTGTATTTAATACTTCTGACTGACCCCAAAATTCTTTGTTCCAAATATTACCTGAACATTCTCTACTAAACAAACAAAAATAACAGTAACAAAAACCTCAAGTGTTAAATGACCTTTTTTAAGCAATTATTTATTCTAGCCCTAAAAGCAATATGTTCTTTAACAAATAACAATTGTGTACAGCTCTAAATGCTAGTAAATTAAATAAATCTCTTCAATTTTACTAAAATTCCCTACAAAATAACTGAGTGTTCTTAGAAGCACCTGTCATTAATGCTGTTTAAAATTCAAATCCCTGAAAATCTTTATTTCCAATTAATGTAGCAAAGAAAATTAAATTTTCCATTATATCATATAGAGACATAATTAACAAACCCTTCTAATTCATTTAAAGAGATACGTATCTTATAATCACTGTTAAATGAATTAAACATATATTCTCTTTTTTTAAAAAAAAAAAACCTTTCCTGGAGTTTGCAGAAATAGTCAGTTATAGAAGTATGTGAAAGACTGGTCTGCTCTTAGATTCAGAAAAACATATGCAGGGGCACCTGGGTGGCTTAGTGGGTTAAGCCTCTGCCTTTGGCTCAGGTCATGATCTCAGGGCCCTGAGACCCTGCTTCCCCCTCTCTCTCTGCCTGCTGCTTTGCCTACTTATGATCTCTCTCTTTCTCAAATAAATAAATAAAATCTTAAAAAAAAAAGAAAAATATATGCATTGTTTATATTTGATAGAGGGGAAATAGAATAGAAAGATATGTTAACTTGTACATCCAGACTGTTTGTTTGCTAGTTGATCTATGCAAGTCTAAACACATAGATGAGATAGGCATTCGACTGGTAGGATTTCAGGGGCAGCAAAATGTGCCCTCAGTCCTTTTCTATCCAATGAATTCTCAGCAGCAGAAGCACTATGGAAACAGATACACAACCTGTTTAGGATACATCGCCCTTGGCATAGGTTAAGAACCATAACTTAACTCAAAACAATGGGAAGCAGAACTAAAAATTTTGAATTGAAGTCATCATGCCTGAAAAAAATTTAATAGCAAAGGGTGTGTCTTTATGGTAGAGAGAGCAGAAACTAGATGTTTGCTTCTAGGAATTACTGTAAAGTAAAAAGAGACTTGAAGCCTGACCTGTAAAGGTAGAAAAGCACCAAAGAAAAATTTCAACTTTTTCATATATTTTCTGGGGCTAATGGTGTGAGTAACCTTGTAGAAAACTGCTTATTTTTCTGTATTTTCAATTCATCTTCTGATAAAGGGCCTATTTATGATGAGCTCTCTGAGGTTACACTGTAGAGCTTCCTTGTCTATTCTTATATTGGGTGCTGTTCCCTTTAACTCTTATATTGCCTGGAGTTAAATGGTTTGGTTTCTGTATTTTTATTTAGAGGAATACATACAAATCCTCTCTATTTAGAAATATAGATGCAATTCTCTATATATAGAAATAAAGATGCAAAATATAGATGCCAACTTCTGCAATTTACTTCATCAAATTTCTAGATTTACTTAAACATTATTTGTCTTTAAGTAGATTTATGAGAAGACTGTATATATGGCTAACAGTCTTAGAAATCTAGAATTGGAAAGAACTTTAAAAAGTACCTATTCTAACCAACATCTTTGTGAAATACAAAAATCAACCCAAGTGCATGAGACTTGCTCCACTTTGTATATCTCAAAGAAGAATCAGTAATTGCCCCTACTTTTCAATTCCAGATCCATTAATTTTAGATGTTAGAAAATAGTTTTATCAAACTTGGGCAATATCCTCACTTTATTCTAAAATAATTCCTTATTTACTCTTCTCCATAAAAGTTTATTTACCCACCTCTTCAAATACAAAAATAATTTATTATTTTCGTTTCTAAATTGAATACTCTCTGTAAGAGCCTTTATGAACTCTATCCAAATTCTCTTTGTCTCTTGGCCTTGGAACCCAGAGCTAGACATGGTCTTTCAGTAAAAAGCCATTCTAGGCCTTCTGAGTATTTAAGTTTGTGGAATTCATTCTCTTTCACTTACTTTAAGCAGAGACAATATGGTTACAATTAAATTTAATGGAGCTGATGCCTATTATGCATGAGTGAACTGTAAGAGGCCTGGAGCTTAGTGACATTTTGGGTAAGTACCCAGAAGTTTTGGTGCCATTTAAAAGTTTATTGTACATCTAAAAAGTGGGACCAGAAATACAAAGTAAAATAGTTTTCTGGGGCTTTTTACTGAACTTCCTATCACAGCCAACTTTTAGGGAGACTGACTTTCTGTTCGACACTTTTGGCTTTAAACATTCTTGGAAATGAGGCATAAAAACAAAAGCATTTTCTCACATAGGTGAGGATCCTAAATATTAATTTAACACATAGGAATTAAATATCACACTTTCTCTGTTCAAACTTGAGGTAGTAAGAT